GGCAGGGGCGCGGATTGATGGCGGGATGGCCAGCAGGCACCACCGAGCAGCCCGTGGGCCGAAGGGGCCATCAGGGGCGAGCCCGGGAGGTGCCAAGGAAGGCCTGGGAGCCTACCCATCAATATTGATAGCTTCCTGGCTCTCGGCAGGTGCCGTATTTGAGCTCAATAGCCAATATTCAATAAACAATAGCTTCATTATCATTAATTCATTATAGAGGGCCTTTATTTAATGGCTTAGAATGCTTAGTTCTTAGCCATGGCTCAGTTAACAGGCGTGGAGTGGCTATAGCCCACTAATCAGCTAATCAGATTGTCAGCTACAGTCCATGTTCGGGAGTGTGCATAAGTTGGTTCAATAAAGTGGTGATTCAGTTTCAGAGTTCCCCCGACCGTGCGGGTACATATCATTCGTAGGTACGTATTGAATTCTCCTACATCTGCATGGAAACATCACCCAAGGTGTGGGCGGCCGGTACTCCCTGCTTGTGCTCGAACTTGGCCAGGAGGATCACATGGTGAGGGATGTTCTGAATCTGGGGCCAGAGAACGCGGATGGCATCGGGTACCGCATCACGCCCGGGAGCGTTGGGCTTGATCCAGTGGCGCTCGATATATGTCTTGGCCCATCCGAACATCTCTCTTACGGGGCATTTATGCAATAAAAACCCGTTTATTATCTACCCGGGTCGTGCGTGTGGGCTCAATTTCAGGCACAGAACCGATTTCGGCCGCATTTGGGTTAATTAAAACAGTTCGTTTCTTGATAACTACCTGGTTTTTTTGTTGTGGTCATGTTTAGTACATCATTTTGAGTGCTCACTATTTTTTTGAGTATTTTCCCTCTCATATTCCTTGTGTCACAATACAATCTCTCTGGCATTTTGTGTTCTCACGCTCGCCTTCACTGGTTCCGTGTTTCTCTTTTTGGTTAGCTCCCTGATCTGATCAATCACATGGTTAATCAGCCTTCCATTCAGAACTCCACATTATGTCACTAAGTTTACTGGTGGCAGTAGAGGTCTTGGGACCGATCTGGTATACTGTTATTTGCAAATCCATGTAATAGTATTGGGGTTATAAAACTAGGGATCTCAGCTATCTGGGAGCTGAATTTGGGAAAAGGAGGACTTGGGGGGAAAGGCTATTGGGCCGCACTTACAGATAGTGTGTAGCTACGATCAGAAAAGTACACAGTCATATAGAGCATACACCAAGATAGCTCAGACTACCACTCCAGAAATGCTGGCACTTTCCCTCACCTCTGCTCCGGCTCCTTTGATGTCTACAACAACAACAATAACCCTCTCTATCACGCCTTCTGTTTCTATGGCCATCCCTTCTGGACACGTTGCACCGGGCAAGCTCGCCACAGCACAGGCCTTTAAGCCTACTCTTAGTGTTTGTACTGGTACTGCACCCGCCCAGTAAATGGGGCAGTACTTGTGTATCTGGGCCCATGTAGACTAGATAGATTCAGAATCATATAGTGGATACCATACAGCAGATACATACTAGGTCCTATCAGAATCTATCCACTAGAACAGTCAGGCCAGAGATGCTGCTCTAGTTACAGATGTGAGCACCTACCTTTCAAAGGCCCTGGTGACCTGTCTACTTACCATGTCACAATGAGTGTTGCAGATTGAGAGCTACACTGTAAAATATATCGCTTTGAGCCCTGTATAGGCCCAAAGCGACCAGATATAGAAAAGGGCCCTAGACTTAACCAAAAGGGTGCCAGGAGTAGCAGTTAGGAGCATGTAGTGATGACAGGAGTGTAGATAGATAGCAGAATGACTAGCAAACATGTAGGAAACCATGACAGACTAGTAATGAGACAAAGAAACCATTAGAATTGAGTTTAGGGGGTGATAGGGAGGGCCCACAAGCCCAGTAGGTCCATATGGGTCCATGATGGGGCCATAGTCGGCCACGAGAGGCTCTCGCGACCGACGATGGTGTCACGTCACATGTGACTTGTCACTCAATCCTGGGCCACAACTTTGGTTTCATAGCTACACACTTGTCTACCTATATATGGGAGCATAATCTGTGCTACCTCAAACTATAGTGTATAGGTTCAATACTATCATAGTAGATTCAGACAAATTGGAGAATAAAGTCCAAAAATCTGCCACCTGAGGGATTTGAACTCAGGAATTCACTTAAAAATCAGGCCATAAAACCATTGAGCTACTGAGACATGAGATGTGACCTCCAGAATATTATGCAGACTACTTTCAAACAGTTCTATTGCTATGCAAACATACTTATCACTACTCATAATAGACATAAATGCCCCGTCTATGCCACACTTGCGGTGGCCTGTCCTCTGGTTCTTTTGTCTACGGTGAGTCCGTGGTCCGCGTACCAGCACGTGATGTCTCCGTCACTGGTGTTCTCATCAAATACTCCGCGCTCGAGTCGGCCCTGCGGGTTGATCTGGACGTTGAGCGCGGTGATTAGTTCTGGAAACCTCTGGGGGTGTACATAGTACCGCGCATGTCTGTCGCACCCTACCACGGTCCCCGTCACATTCCAGAGTACTGCTTTGCCCCGCATCATGTGGTCCTGCGTGTTGGCTTTGAACTCCGCTTTGGGCAAGCAGATAACGCCGTGGATGAAGTTGTCCAGGCTACGTGCATGGTGCGCCTGGTAACGCGCCCATTTGAACCAGTTGAACCGCCTGAAGTTCCCCAGTGCAGGTCTTTCCGGACTTCCTTCCATCAACTGGGGGATGTGTGCCGCGTGCGGAGGCTTCGAGGTTGAGGCCTTAGTCCCCCCCCCCCCC